ATGAAAGCCAGTTATCCCCAGGACTGGGGAGTGGCTAGGTAGGTAAAGTGTGCAAGCATGAGGATCTGAGTTCAGATCCCCAGAGCTCACATAAAGTGGGGCACGTTATTAAAGAGATGGTGGTGCCAGGTGGTGCATGTTATTAAAGAGATGATGACAGATGCTGGACACCTCGCCTAGCCAAAAGGGCTAACTCCAGCTTCAGTGAGAGACCCTGTCTCAAAAAGTAAGGTGGACCTGGGTGTGGTGGTACATACCTTTAACTCCAGCACTTGGGAAACAGAGGCAGGAGAATCTCTGTGAGTTCAAGGCCAGCCTGGTCTACAGAGCAAGTTCCAGGTTAGTGAGAGCTACACAGAGAAACTCTGTAAAAAAAAAAAAAAAAGAAAAAACAAAAACAACCTCCCCCACCCAAAAGGTGGAGACACCTGATGTCAACTTCTGGTTCATGTCCACCCCTGAGCCCCTCCCCCCAAATTTCATAGAAACAGCCTGGAAGTACTTCAACTATACTGTCTCCAGACATATGTGGGGATCATGAGTTGACCCATAAAGAGCATCTGAGGGCCAGGTTGGGAAAGGCAGAGCTGGGGAAAGGTTTGGCTTATCACTCTCTACTCTCCTTCCTGGGCCATACACAATGGGCAGGCAACTGACCTGCTTAATGAGTGTCATGGCTTCAGGAAGAGAGCGGAGGAGTCAGCATTCACATGGACCCCTCTGCTGGCTCCTTGCTGCAAGGTGGGCAGAATACTCTGAATTACTTCTGTAGCTCCAGGCAAGTTGTCGGGTGCTCCAGCCTGGAGCCTCCAGCCTGGTTGGCAGCCTCAGGGCTCTCTTGACAGGGTTGTGTGTGCCAGTGTCAGCATTCCACCAGAACCCTTTCCAGCTCCGTTGTTCTTTCCCCCACGTGGCTTGTCCACATGTGTGGCAGGCAGGGAGCACGTGGCAGTGGGCGGTTCTCCTAGCTACTACTCAGTGGACAGAGCCCTGGGAGCTCTTTAGCCTGAAATCCAAGGAGCAGAAGGCACTTTCCAGAAACCAGCCCAGCTGCTGGGTAAGCCCTGGGCAGCTGCTTGTCTCTCTCTGCTTGGCCATGGCAACCTCTGGGAGCATCCCACTGTGTCCTGGTCTCACACCTCTATGCAGCACCATGTCACTGAGCATGCCTATCTGATATGCTTTTCCAGGGTTCAGTCCTGGGGTAGCCAAGAGCATGAGGCTGCCACGGGGAAGGCAGAAAAACAAGCAGGAATTCCAAGCAGCTGTTCCCGTAGGACTGTAGCTCCCTGGTGTACCGCCCAGGGCCTGGCCAGCTGTCAGGTCTAGGAGTTTGGTCCAATCTGGGATCTCCTGCTCCCGGTGGAGACCCTACAGGAAATGGCATTGATAAATCATGGCCAGGCTGTTAAGATCATGCTCAGGCATTTTCTTAATCTGCAGTGTGTATGCTGCAACTGTGGACACCCTTTCCTACTGAGAATGGAACCTTAAAGGTTAACTGGCCACCCTGCACGCCTCCTCCAGGAGGTATCAATTAGTGCAATGTTTATGAGAAACATTTTGGCAGCTATCAAGATCTCAGATGCACCCATGCTTTTATTGTTGTTATTATTTGTGGCACTCAGGATGGAACCCAAGCCTTGTACATGCTAAGTAGCACTCTGCCACTAATTATATTGCCGTGACCCCAGCACTCATGCCTGCTTTACTCTTTGGAGACAGAATCTTGCTCTGTAGCTCATGCTAGCCCAGAATTCATGATCCTTCTGCCTTAGTCTCCCGAGTCCTAGGTTATAGGCATGTGCCACCACATTTGGCTCACATCTGTACTTTGATCCAGCAGTTCCATTCCCAGGGGGGCTTCAGGACTCATAGTGGATGCATGCAACCTCAGCAGTGATGGCCTTGTCTGCCAATGAAATGACAAGAAAGAACTCAGTCTCCATCTGTAGAGTCCCAGATAAATACAATTTAAACCTATCAGCGTACTTACTCTTCAGCAGAGAAAACAGGAAGAACACTCTAGCAAGGTATGGTGGCCCATGCTTTTAATCCTAGTACACAGAAACCTGAGGTAGGAGGATTGCCACAAGTTTGAGGCCAACCTGGGCTACACAGCCAGAACCCATCTCCAAAAACAAATAAAAATAAAAATTTGAGGTGTGTGTGTGTTTTGTATGTGGACAAACATGAGAATATGAGACATTTGTGTAGAAGTAGTGGGTGGGGTATAAAACCTAAGCAGCGGAGACCTTAGGGAAGCAGAGCTCACTGTAGAGCAGGAGGGCTGGAAAGGAAAGGTTCCCCTCCTTTACAGTGTACAGTGTACAGGGTATGCCACACAATAGCTAGGACTCTGCTTTTCCATTAAATCTCTCTCTCTCTCTCTTTCTCTCTCTCTCCCTCCCTCCCCCTCTGTGTGTGTGTGTGTATTTGTGTGTGTTGTATGTGTGTTCTGTGTGCATGTGTGTGTGTTGTATGTGTGTGTGTGTTGTATGTGTGTGTGTGTTGTCTGTGTGTGTGTGTTGTATGTGTGTGTGTTGTATGTGTGTGTGTGTTGTATGTGTGTGTGTGTTGTATGTGTGTATACACATGGAGTTCACAAGGTCTCAGGGATCACACTCAGGCGATCAGGTTTGGCAGTCAGGACTTTTACCCATTGAATCACCTCCCTGGCCTTTATTTTCTGTTTTAATTTTGCTGTAAAAAGAGGGCTCCCTAGCTAAAAATTGACAGGTGAAATTGTGAAATTGGGCCAGGCCTCCTACCATGTATAAAAACAGACTCAAATGGATGAAAGGCTTAAAACTTAAAAAGCTCTTAGAAAGAGATAAGCTTAAGTTTGTGTGATCATGAACTAGGTATTGCTTTCTTTAAATATAACACCAAAAGTATAGCTGTGAAAAACTTATGAATTGGTGATTTTAAACTTTTGAATTTTAAGAGACACCATTAAGAAAACGAAGAGAATTGGGGTGGAGAGATGACTAGGTGGCTAAGAGCACTTACTACTCGCCAAGAAGACTGGATTTGGTTCCCCACACCCAAATCTAGTGGCTCACAACTGTCTGTAACTCCAGCTCCAGAGGTTCTGACTCTCTCTTCTGCCCTCCATTGGCACTGTGGGCACACGGTGCACATATAAACACTCAGGAACACACATAAAATAAAAACAAGGAAGTCATAAAAGAGGAAAGAAAAATAGACACCAAGTGTGTGTGCGCGCTCAGAGAGTAAATTGCCTGACAGCCTTCAAGAAGCCTGGCTAGTATCTGCGTGTGGTGATGCACACCTTTAATCTCAGCACTCTGTAGGTAGAGACCAGTGATCCTCCGAGTTGTAAACTATCCTGGTCTATAGAGAGAGTTTCTAGGGCAGCAGGGCTATCCTGACACAGAAAACAAACAAGCAAAAAAAAAATCCTAGCTGTTTGCTGCCAAAGAGAATGGCCTCACAGGAGAACACCCTTAGCACTGGGCCCTAGAACTGTGAGAAGATAAACTTCTCCTCAAGGGAGGGAAGGAGAGGTAGGGTTAGAATTAGGAAGGCAGGACAGCTAGCTACAGAATGAGAGAAAAATTTTGCAAATTGTATATGTACTAAAGGATTTCACTCCACAAGTGTGCATGTTTGTGTGTGAGCATGTGTGTGTCTGCACGTAGGCACACCTGTGTATAAACTCCTACAACTCAACATTGAGATAACCCAGTTGAGGACTTGGAAGATGGGCCAGGGCTGCAACTCTGTGTCGAGGTGTTTGCCTAACATGCACAAGGCCTCAGGTTCCAGCTCCACCACCATGTTAGAAAGAATTGCCAGAGCTTGGAGATCCATCTACCTAGCCATGTTCCAGGGACAGCTGCTGAGCCATGCAGAGCCACTAGTGCACCTGACGCACTAGTGAGGTGCAGATTCAGGCCACGGTCCCCGGTCCACCCATAAGATGGCCAAAGACCACAGCAGATATCAGTGTGGCTGTGGAGCCTCCAAAATACTCAGTGCATTGTGGATGGGCACGGGCACAATGTGGCCACTTTAGAAGAAGCTGGTTGTGAGGTTTTTAAAAGGTGGATATAGTTTTAACAGCAATCTCCCTTCTGAGCATATGACTCTGTGGGTAGAAAGCATTTGTTACCCAGAACAGGCAAATCCACAGAAGCAGAGGCAGAAGCAGTGGAAGGAGGGGAGGTGGCGGGGGGGGGGGTCTTTGTGAATGTTTACTCATCTCATGTGCGTACATACCACAGCACTGGCATAGAGGTCAGAAAACTTGGCTGAATTTCACAGTATGTGTATTTCTGTAAAGCTGTTTTTGAAATCTGGTTGAGAGCCAGGGTTGTAGTCCAGCAGCAGAGTGCTTGCCCAGCATGCACGAAGCCCTGGGTTCAATGCTGGTTCCCCAGCACTGCATAAACTGGATGCAACAGCACTTGGGAGGGGGAGACAGCAGGATCAAGAGTTTAGGGTCATCCTCTTCTGTATAATAAGTTTGATATCAGTCTAGGCCACATAAGACCCCGTCTCAATAAAACAGACAAAAACCCTGAAGAACTTGACTCCCATTAGTAGAGCATGGTTTTGATTAACTGTACGACTCTGGTTGGTCTATTGATTCCTTGCTGTCTGGGTTTCTCACCTGCAACGTACAGATAGTAATGATAGATAGCCCTACCTTGGGAAGGATAGTGGACCCAGGACAGCAGATTCGGGTAGTATTCGTTGTGAGAATCATCTGTCAAGATATCTGATCTGAGATAGATGTCAGCAAAACCCATGGGTGGGGCAGGGGAGGGGGTGCTCCCATCTAGGGCCCTAGGCCCAGAAACCCTTGAGTCAGAATGTCCCTTCAAAGTCTCAGCCTGGACTCACACTGCAGTTTCCTGTTAGTACTAGTGGGCTTGTCCAGCTGGGTGTGACTTCTGTGGGCTTTGTCCTCACCACACTGGCCCAAGCAGCTATTCCGTCTTGTAACCTCCCACTTTCTCTTCTCTTTACAGCCTGAGTGCCCCTCAGAATGGAAACGCCTTCCGGATCTTCGCTGTCAGGCAGTGAATGTGGAGAGCTGGGGAGAAGGGGATGTCATCTACTGCGTTTGGGGTCCTGCTTTTTACCTGTACTTTGTCCTTTGGGGGTGGGGTGGGGTTACAGAGAGTCAGGAATCTTTCTTTCAGTGTCATTGAATGTCCTGTCCCTTTGTGGCCTTCGGTGAGGGTCACGTAGCATCATCAGCTCATGAGTAGCATGCCATGGAGTCTCGGGTGGACAACCAGTGCCCAGACTGGCCAGGCTGTGGTCCCCATCTGGCCACTCAGGAGCTGCTCACTGAGGCACTCCTCACCACATTTGCTTTGGTGCGTGGAGGGGGAAGCGTTCAAACCCTTGAGGATACAGGTTTGAGATGTGTCGTGAATGGGACTCTTGTCTGAGTAGAGATGACAGCCCTAAAGTCACAGTACGTCCTACCAACAGGGAAATAGGTTCTATGTTTGCTGGTCAGACAGATGGGCTGCAAGGAGAGGCCCGGGGAAAGACTTGGGCTCTGCCCTGGTAGTGTCCTTGCTTGTGTCTCCTGCCCTCTTGGCGGTCATGTGCTTATATATCCAGCAGAGCTGGTCTATTTAAAGTTGGCAGCACTCCAGAGATTTATCTTGTCTTTGTCCTTGTCCGTGTGGCCTGTTTTCACATGACCTTTGGTCTCATGGAGGACCGATGCATCAGGAGCCTTCCGCCCCATTCTATGACACTGTGGCTTCTTCCCCACCCCAGGCTGGTCTAGGTGTTCTCCTTTGGGGCTTGGCTTTGCACAAGGCTCCAGGTCTTAGATGTCTGTTCACCCCTTAGAACAAGGGCTGTCTCACTGCTGCTGTTTGAGTGACAACTCAATGTCACCTTCCTCTTCGCTTGGGTGACCTAGTTTCTAGCTGTGGGAGGAATGGATTGCTGGCACATTCCTCATGGAGGTTAATGGCGTGGCTTGTGGTTGTAAAACCGCCCATGACACACCAGCCACCAGGGAGAGGCGCCGGGACACACAGGAAGGACTCCTATTCCTATTGGTGCAGCTTAGCTCCTGCCAGCGTTCCTGGGCTCCAAGAGTGTGGTGAGCCCTGGCTTCCATCACTTAGGAGCCTGGCCCAAACCCACTGTAAAATGAAACATGTTCTTGTAAACAGCTTACTCTAGAGAAGGTGAAATCCCACCCCAGCCCTAGGGATGTAGAAGTTGCCCGTGAGTGCTGGCTCCAAATGGGGTTTCATGATCCAGCCAACTATTTCCTAAGGGGGGGGGAGCAGAAAATAAAACAAAACACTGCCCTAAGGGACAGGCTGGGGAGTTGGCTTGGTGGTTAAGGGCTTTTGTGGCTTCCAGAAGACCTGAGTTCAATTCCCACCACTCACTCACAGGCTGTTCACACCTACCTGTAACTCTAGGCAATCTATGATCTCCACAGGTACCACACACATACACATGAATAAAAGTGCAAATAGTTCTTTAAAAAAACCCTATTTGAGTCTAAACAAAGCCCCCCCCCCCATGGAGCCATGTGGACCTAGTTGGGTTAAATGTTTATTTGTTTGAGACAGAGTTTCACTATGTAGTCCAGGTTGGCCTTGACTCATCATGTAGCCCAGGCTGGCCTCCTCAGTGCTGAGATAGCTTTCCCCAAATCCATCCCTTCTGGGGAGTTTATAAAAAGCACACAATCTTGAGCCAGCCCCAGCTAGCCTTTTCTGGGCTTTTCCCACCTCACGTTGTGAGTGTGGCATTTTGTAGGCATAAACTCTTCACCCCAGATGTCAGAGCAGACAAATGCTCAGCCTGTGGAGGGGGGCTCCAGGTTTCCACCAAACATCTGGAAAACTTCCAGATGCAAGTAGTACTGTGGGACTCTGGCTTCACTCAGCTTACAGGGCAAGGTTGGGATGGTAAGGAAAATTGCTCCCCTCCTGGTTTTCTAGAACGAGTAACCAGGGGAACTTGCTGTGAGAGTCTACACTGCGGTCCTGAGTGCACCCCGGCTGGCCCTTCCACCAGGCATAGGGGCCTTGCTCATCTTCACCAATAGTTAGAAACTGGAAGCCCCTTTCTTCAGGAAAAAAATGGAAATGAAACTTTGAATGACAAGATCTTGATGTCAGAGCACTTCTGACCTTGTGTCCATCAGTTCTTCCAAGTTTAAAGTGACCACACCCATGCCAGCTGCATCCCGCACTCTGCCCTGTGATAGTTTCCATTTGCTTCTAGGTTGTGCTCGGTCTGTTCTGAGGGGTGTGTTGACTCTCCATGATCTGTAGGCTCTCTTGGCCCGCAGTTTACTGTGTGCTTTTTTCTATGAAAAATGATATATTTTACAACTTCCTATGTACAAAAGTTTATTGTAAGTTTTTGTGCTTCGCATGAATAGGGCCACACTGGTTGTTGCTATGGTTTCAATAAAACTGATTTGATTTCTAACACATCCCTGTACTGCATTTTTTCTAGACACATCATTTATAAACTCATTTGTCTTGTCCCCACAAGCCCCAAGCAGCTGGCAAAGTCCAAGTGGCATTGTAGGGGACCTCAGATACATTCCTGGGAAGTATGGTCAAGAGACTAGTGACTTAACAACATATAGGTTCTGGCATGCAAAGCAAGGATGGGAGTCAAGATACTGTGTTTCCCACAAGCCCCAAGATTGCACTTGGAGCAAGCGATGACCACTGGGGTTTTTGTCAAGGACATGCCAGTGAGAGCTATAGTGGCAAGACTGAAGACTAGGTGGGTGGCTTTAATAACAGAAGGGGGTGTGGGTATTCAAAGTCAACATGTGAGTAGGGCTGCCTTCCTCCCCACCCACAAGATACCTCTGTCCATAGTTTGTATCCTCTTGATGTGCCCTCCATGGCAGGGCCTTCATGTGTCCATCTGGCGTCTCCTTCACCTCTATAAGAACAAGTCACATCGGTAACCCAGTCACAAAAAGACAAACATGGTATGTACTCACTGATATATGAATTTTAGACATAGAGCAAAAGATTACCAGTATATAATGCTCTTCACCAAAGAAACTAGGAAACATGAAGGACTCTAAGGGTTAAATGGTCCCCAGGAATGGAAGTGGCATGAACTCCCGAACTAATTGGGGGCATGAGGGTGGGGGGGGGAAGGAGCTGCTACTATAAGAGCAAGAGAAGAGGAGAAGAGGAGAGGAAA